CTTGAGAAGTGGGACCCGAATCCGAACCAGAAGATGTTCGAGAAGACATGTGACCGAACACGAAGAAGAAAGGAAAAGCAAGGAACGGAGAGTACCTGAACACGAAATATCTCGAAGAAACTGGACAGAAGGCAGAACAAGGCCTCGAAGGAAATGAGAATTCAAAACCCATTTCTAGGGATTTCAAGGCCCATTTATAGCCTGACAAACGCCAAATCAACAACCAATCAGAAGAAGACACGTCGCCTGGATTATTTGGAAGGACACATGTCTCACATGAGATCAAGGGCCAGTAATCATGACGATTACTGAAAAAATCAAACGACTGCCGCAAAAAAGGTACTAATCATGACATGGGGAACCAGCAAACTCTGGATCCCGATCGCCATTCGGCATTTAAGTTCTACTTCCCAATGCACTCAGTACCGTTTGAGACATCGAAAGTGGGGGACTCGTTTTGGGATATTGGGCCGCAGGCCCAATACCCGGATCCAAGGCCCAACATTTCCGGTCCAACAAATGGGCCCAGAATCCGGAAGATGAACAGGCTCATGGAGAAATATGTACCGAACAGGGTTCGAGTCAACCAATGTAGTTGGGCCAGATCAATGATGATTCCAGCAGGGTCCACTACCCGTTCGGGCAGCGGGTAGCCAACAAGTGCCAGGGAGTATTTATTGCTAAAGTATGGCGGCACCAAGTGGCAGTATGGGTTTCCAAGTGGCTAGATAAAGCAACCAATCAACATGAAGTACCCCATACCCCCATTAGTATAAATAGAAGGATTTATTTCATTGTAAAGGGTTAGCTTCTTGATATTCAAAGCCTAGAATAGATTTATCTCTCTTATTTCTTGTATTAGTGACTATTCCGACGTACCGTTCGGGTAGTTTACTGTGTAATCATCAAATTACTTAATACAAGTGGGCTCTTGATCATTCGATAATCATCTTTTATATTTCTCTTTATACGAGTGATTCTTGAGCCATTTTCCTGATACATCCAAAGTTCGTGTAGGGGGTCAGAAATCATTTATTGCAAAGAATTATTGCACTTCTCTATCTAGCTCTCATTTCTCTCTAGGAGTTAATACTACATCACAAACTATAGCAGACTAATCCAAACCAAAAGAGACTAGTTCCGAATGTTTCAGTCTGATAAAAAATCTCTATTACTAATTTTTGAGGACGAAAGCAAGAGCATTGGCCCCATACTCATCCTAAGTCCCCCGATGCTTCTTTGTTTTGATATAAACTTTTGATTTTAATTTTGGGTTCTTCTCAAACTAATATAATTGTACGGTTCGTTTTATCTGTTACATATTCTTTTAGGAAGTTTTTATCATTTGTCTCATATCCATGTTTAAATTTATGTACCCTACTTTTTCATATATTATATTATTCTTTATTTATTTTTATTCTTACTTTTTCCCACCTTTGCATTTCTTCTAAGTTTTATTGGTTATTTTTTATTGGTCATTAATATGAGAGAGAATTTGACTATACACCTCACTTTTTGGGTGATATTGAACTTTAAACCTCATTGTTAAAAAACTTTGACTTTGCGCCCCCATTTCACTTAAAAATCCTTCGACTTTCACCCCATTTAAAACTTTTTCTTCACAAAATGTTATATGATGGGTGCAAAGTCAAAGTTTTTTGAAAATGGGGCGCAAAGTCTAATATCATTCTAAAAGTGGGGTGCAAAGTCAAATCTCCCCTTGATATAACAATACTGATGACATAATTGACAATATTTTCCAATCATTGTAGTAACTACTCCAATTTAGAGAAAAATATGTTACTCTTACTTACTTTGTAGTGAAATGTTTGCTACAACAGAGTTTTATACAATATTTAAGAGAAATGTAGCAAGGGTGATGAATAGTTAGGGTGAATATAACAACCGAATCGAACCGGTACAGAACTAGACCATAATGGTGCAGGACTGTATAATGGGTATTTGCCGAAAAATAACACATAAAAAGGAAACATGAAAGTAGAAAACAACAAGCAAAAGGAAAAAGTCAACCCAAATCAACAACATTACACTCTCCCTAATAAATAATGAGCCCTCAATTAAATCTTCAAACCTCCGCATGTGTTTAGGATCTAGCTAGTCCTCATGTGATGGAAATGTTGCTTCTTAGATGTGAATAGTCCCTTTTGAGTGTTCAAATTTTGTGTTGGTAAATAATTTTCTCGCATGACGAGAATAGCTTTGTAACACGTATCCTAATTTGCATCATAATTGCATAGATCCTCTATCGTCAAGATAAGGAGTATCGTGCTTATCATTTCATTTCTTTTCATTTCAATTATATCCACATTTTAATGTTTCAATTCTTCTTTGACAACTGTTCCTAACTTTAAAAAATATATTCTTTCAGATAGAGATGATACACATAAAATTATGTATACACGCATGTAGTGGATAATAGCGGTGATAGATAATCATAAATTTATACCGCTGCGATATTTAATGTAGCTATCAGCTGGCTTGGGCCTTTCTTTGATGAACCCATTTCTTCTCGGAATTTTTTTTGTTATGATAGTGACAATAGATTTTTCTTTCCCTTTTCATTCTCACGTATATGCCACCCACCATGTTATTTATGATTGAAAAAGCATGGTACACGAGTGAACCACAATATTACTAAATTGATTAACTTGTGCTACTATACGATGATCTTTTTCATAATGAAGATATTAATTTGTTCGACAATATGGTGGTCTTAACTGTGGAATACCAATTGTCATAGTTATGCAAAAAATCAACTTTCGGCGTCTAGGTGCCCTTCGACCAAACGACCAGCGCGGTAGCCTAGTGAGTTGTAGAACACGACGTACTACACACCGTCAGAAAACCATGCACACACTAATAACTCTAAAGGCTAGATTTATTCTTCGGGTTGCAAAAGCTCCCATCAAAGAAACCGACCACAAACATAGCTTAAAATTTAAAGTGTACCAACTAAGAAGGTTGCTATTCATGCAACATGTAATCTTTATCATCCATAATATCCATCACGTGGACCATTTTGTTTCACTTGCATTTGTGAAGTAATGCTTGGGGACCAGCTTGATAAGATTTTAGGAGAGGGAAATTAGAAAGAGATTTTGTTTATGTTTTTTTTTTCATTTTTCAATTCTTTGCTGATAAAAGAAAGATTTTGACGGAAAAGCAGATGGGCTTACATTTGTAGCCTACGGTTTAAACGGGTGCCTCGATGACAATTTCTTGGTCGCAGGAGGAGAGTTTCCGTCTTATGCTTTTGGTGGATCAATACCAAGCTAACATATACCCGATCGATGGTTTTGAGGAAGCGTACAAACATTTAACTATGGGGTAATATTATTCTATTTTAGTTTTATCATAAAGTTGATATGAATCTAATTGTAATAGACAATCCCTAGTTTTTTGTTAACAATTTATGATGTTTTGTGGATTGGGTTAAGAATTTGATTATCGATTTCACTAAAAATGGATGAATTTTGAATTCAGATTTATAATTTATACGATGAGTATTTTACCCTGGAAATTGCGGAACATGTTGAGACGATTATTGACTCATTTTTGTAGATAGAGGAGTATAATTTTGGAATTGCTTGAAAACCTTTTATACATATTAGCGTAGCTATAGATATTGTCAAACCTTTAAGACACGCATTAATATTGAAAGCAGGCTTGAAGCGATTGAGTTTGGTTGGACTTCCAATATAAAAAGTTGCCTAATTTTTCCTTGGTGTGCATAATTGGTATTGCAGATATATTTTGTCCTATTGCATTGTATTATATATCAGAAGGAATGGAGCGATCATATGGATTTGAGATGAGAGTTTGAGCGGGCAAACAACAAACTTGAAATAAAAATAAATGATTAGTCCATACTGGTGCCACAAAGGTAGGAGGACAACATAGAGGAAACATGGCGGAGGGGAACAATTTTTCACGCTAGGGGGATATAAGCTACACTCATCTGTCTCGGTGGTGGTGACTACAAATTCTACGAGACAAAGAAAAATAAGAATAGAGGTGTAGAAGGCTGAATGATGAGGAAAGTAGACATATGGAAAACATGATATGGGGCATTGTGTAGATTTAATGACTCTCACTAGTACAAAAAAGCCCTTTTACATCACCTTATCTACATGTGTTATTGTAAAACCCATGTAGAATACTAACACGGGGTCATTATTATAATTTTTATAAACTTTTTAGATATGTTGTTATAACCCATGTTAAATAGCAAAACGGGGTACTTTTTAAAATTTTACGAAATATTCTAAATCGGTTATGTTTGCAACCGATGTGAAAAGAAAAACGGGGTAATTTTTATAATTAATGAAACTTTATTTTAGATCGGTTAAAACCGATGCGGAAGAAGGAAAAAAAAAACTTTGCAGCGCACCCAATTTTAGACCTAAGCTCTCCTCCTTCCGCCCGATTTGTATCGCGTCTTAAAGTCATTCACAGACGGAAGACAGAAGAGAGCGCGGTTCAGCGAGAGCTTTGGACCAGACTTTGGCGCGGCTGGTGTTGAAGCGGACGGCTTCCAGCGGACGGCGGACGGAGGACGGCTTCCAGCGAACGGCAGACGGAGGACAGCTTCCCGCGAACGGCGGACGGAGGACATGGATGACCCCGTTAGTATTCTACATGGATACAACCTTCAGTATAACAATGTTGTAGATTTGACAGAGGAGCATCCATGTGATGCTTAAATATAGAGAACATTATGCAAAATATCCCGGTAGTAAAACTATTTATAGAACCTTGGAAGTTTCTTTCTGGCAAGTGTACAGGGGCCATCCACACTGTTGTCCTGATGTTAATTTTTCATGTTGTATCAGACAAGGTATCACCAAGGTTCCAGGGGGGTTGTTTTTCTCTTCTGATTTATGCTAGATTCTACTTTTAGTGTTCTCTTTTTTTAGAATATTACACCATATTCACTTTCATTTTCTTTTCATTTCTCCATTCTTTCTTTATTGTGATAGGTACAAGAAACTATTACGCACAGTGGACCTCACAAAGGACTTCTTTTTCAGCTATTCATATCTTATTATGCTTAGTCTTCAGAAAAACTTAAGCAATCATGAATCGGAACTTGTTCTTTATGAAACAATGTTCGTATGGAATGAGTTCTTGACTCGTGGGATCCGCAATCAGCTCAGGAATACTATGTGGACTGTGGCTTTAGTTTATGGATTCTTTAAAGAGGTACTTGGTTATTTGGGAATTTAGGTCAAAATTTCTATTTACCTCCCTTCTTTGAAGTCCATAAATTTCATTTGATCCAATCTTGTTTTGTCATTCTTTGCTATTTTCCTTGTGATTAGCCTTCCCTCTGCATTATGATCCATTTAGACTATGAAGATCTGCTTTGGTTGTTATGTGTCGCGATCCCCTTAATCCTGACTTACCAAATTTTACTTCCAGGCCAAACTTCCAATTTGTGAGAAAGACTTCAAGTTGATCCTTATTGCGAGACGATCTCGTCACTATGCCGCAACTAGGTGTGCTTATATTCACCAAGTTGTTCCCAGTGGTTATAAAAACAGTGTTGAGTACATTAAGAATATATTACTGCATGTTAGTCTTCTCTGCTATAAAAATATTACACTTCAGTAATTCTTTTAAATTCTTTTTGTCCTAGATATTTGAAGAGAGGTGTAAATGAGAAGGGTAGAGTAGCCAATGATGTGGAGACAGAACAAATTGTGGTCGAAGATGTTCCTGAAGGGTGTCCAGTACACATTAGCTCTGTTGTGCAGAACCGTGGGTCAATACCTCTTTTCTGGTCACAGGAAACTTCAAGACTAAATATTAAGCCTGATATTATATGTGAGTTAACTAAATACTTGAACGCTATCATTAGTGTACGTACTTTCCATAGTCCACTAACCCTCTCTGTCTATAGTGTCAAGGAAGGACCCTATGTATGAAGCTACCCAGCTTCACTTTGAGAACCTAGTCAAGAGATATGGAAATCCAATTATCATATTGAATCTTATCAAGGTAAACAAATTAATTGACCCAAGGACTAGTTTTTTGTATTTTTTCCGTAAACTATTCTAACCTTTTCTGGTGTGCAAAACAGACCCGTGAGAAGAAGCCCAGAGAATCTATTTTGCGTGCAGAATTTGCTAATGCTATTGATTGTATCAATAAAAAGCTCTCCGAGGAAAACCATTTGAAGTTTCTTCACTGGGACCTAAATAAATTCACAAAAAAGTTGGTTTTATTCTCCTTTTCTATTTACTGTTTATATTTAGTCTGAAGAATCATCTGTGAGAATGGTCTCTCTCTTTTCAACAGCAAAGCTACAAATGTATTGATGGCTTTAGGCAAGGTGGCTGCTAATGCATTGGAATTAACTGGCTTCTTTTACTGTCATGTAAATCCATCTTCAAGGACAGCAGAATTGTTGAATTTCCCATATGCAAGGTAATTTTAAAATGCTGTCTTTATTTTCTAGTTTCTCTCTCATATTATTAGTGTAAATTATGTATTTATCTTGATTATATGCTGTATTTTTAACTTGTAGTTAATTAATTTCAAATTAGATTGATATCCAAGGCACTAGGTTGGCTGTTTTTGGATAATATTGTGTCCTGTCTTCTTAGTAGTTCTTTTTTGGTTTACGCAACTTTTCTTCACTGCATTAATAGTTACTAAAAAAAGTGGCATGTTTACATCATTCCTCCCTGCATTTCTTAAATTATGTTTGTATTTATCATTGATTTCCTCCCATAATCAACTATATGACACAGTAACAAATGCAAACAAGACGGCTCCGAGGAAGATCTTCATAATGTTGCTGTGAACACTCATTGTGTTGAAAGTGGACTAAACTACAATAAAGACGATTCACATGGAATTCAATCCACCAAGTGCCCAAACTTCCAAAGAGGGGTCCTAAGAACAAACTGCATTGACTGTCTAGATCGTACCAATGTTGCTCAATTTGTATATGGGCTTGTTGCTATGGGCCATCAACTGCATGCTTTGGGCTTTATAGATGTGGAAAATATAGATTTGGATTCTCCTTTGGCAGATGCTTTAATGAAGATATATGAATCAATGGGAGACACTCTTGCGCTACAGTATGGTGGATCAGCTGCACACAACAAGGTGACCTTATTCTCAATTAAGAATTTCATACTTCAAAGATTTAATGACGATATCAGAATTTGTCAACTAAACTCTGAAGTCATTAAATAGTTTCTTCCAATGTTCAACTTTCATCTCGAAATTGGGAATTCTTTGAGTTTCTGTTACATGTTATGATGTTCATACCAGAGTGGAAATGGTGTCATCCAACTGAATTTTCTTTCAATTTTATCCGGGGTCAACTTTTTGCTTTACTCCCTCTGTCCCACTTTATATCCCACTTTATATGTTGTACTTAGCAGGGGGGGCCCTCGCTTGGTCCTTCACAATGTTCACGAGCCAATTTAATTCGACTCTTCTCGGGAAGAAGCTTACATTTAAAACAATTTGAGGGAACTAGTGTTTCCGGGGGAGGTGGCTGGGGAGGGGGCTGGGGATCTGGGGAGGGGGCTGGGGAGTTGGGGAGGGGGCTTGGGACGGGGCTGGTGGGATGGGGAGGGGGCTGGGGAGCTGGGGAGGGGGCTGGTGGGATGGGGAGAGGGCTGGGGAGGGGGCTGGTGGGATGGGGAGGGGGCTGGGGAGCTGGGGAGGGGGCTGGTGGGATGGGGAGGGGGCTGGGGAGTTGGGGAGGGGGCTGGGGAGGGGGCTGGTGGGATGGGGAGGGGGCTGGGGAGCTGGGGAGGGGGCTGAGGAGCTGGGGAGGGGGCTGGGGAGTTGAGGAGGGGGCTGGTGGGATGGGGAGGGGGCTGGGGAGTTGGGGAGGGGGCTGGTGGGATGGGGAGGGGGCTGGGGAGTTGGGGAGGGGGCTGGTGGGACGGGGAGGGGGCTGGGGAGGGGGCTTTATCCTTTTTTCCTTTTTTTAATTATTGTTTGTCTTTTATCCTTTTTTTATGTATACAGGAATCACTGGGAGCTCTTTATTCTCTCTCCTATCCAAAACACTATTGTCTTCTTGTGTTCTTTGGGGAATAAGCCAAATAGACAATTCAAAAATATTATTGATGCGTAAGTATTTTGTACATTCCGTTTTAATATCTTAATTACATAAATAAATTATTATTATATATATATATAATATTATAAATTACATAGTGCAATGGAGGCAAGCCGTAGACTCAACTCAAGAAAGGGAAGAGTGAAATGGATTATTCCTATGGTAAATACTTACTACTTTACTTTGTATGTTATTTTTACTTTCATTTGTGTAGCACCAAGTCGAATACCATAATTTCTGATTAGTAAGTATGTTGTTCTAATTTGTAGTCTCGGATGCAAGTTGGGAGTTATGAATGTGGTTATTATGTAATGTTGCATATGTTGAATATTGTTTCGGCGGTAATTCTTGAAATGTGGGATGAGGTACATTATTATTTTATTTACATTCAATAGGTTTGCTCCAGATGTAATGTTTTTTAATAACCTTCTTATTTAATTTGTAGCGATTCGCCAAGAAATGACGCAATCCATCAACGACTCGTTGGGCATCATATTTCTTAGAAACGACGCAATCCATCAACGACACATGATGAACGTGTTTGTTTAAGTTTTTGAGTGATGATGTTAAACAAGTACAATGTGTTATTACTCTAGACTTGTGCAAGAATTGTTTTATTTTAGCTTGTTATTATGTACTAAGTTGTTACTTGAACTTGTTTAACATTTGTGGAAGAATTGAAAATTAGCTTGTGTTATTGTTTTAGATGGATCAAGTGAACAGGTGAAAAATTGTGCTATAGTAGTTGATGATACTATTAATGATGTGATTATAGTATAAACAGGGGTCATATCGCAAAATTTTTTCATGAAAAATACCGAAAAAATTGAAGCTTTTCACATCAGTTGTGAAATAACCGATGTGATTGCTTTTCTACATGGGTTATAACTGATGTGAAACACATATGTTCCGAAAAAAACGAAACTTTTCACATCAGTTGTGAAATAACCGATGTGATTTCTTTTTTACATGGGTTATAACCGATGTGAAACACATATGTTCCGAAAAAATACGAAGCTTTTCACATCAGTTGTGAAATAGCCGATGTGATTTCTTTTTTACATGGGTTATAACCGATGTGAAAAACCAATGCTCCGGGAAAAATTAAAGCTTTTCTACATCAATTATAAAATAACCGATGTGGTTTCTTTTTTACATGGGTTATAACCGATGTGAAATATCATTAAAAACGCCGTTTCGGCCTATCTTCTAGATCGGGCACTAAACGACCGATGTAGAAACTTTTTTAACATCGGCTGTTTGACCGATGTCAAAAGTCAATACTTTTCACATGTGCTGGAACCACATCGGCTGTTCGACCGATGTGAAAAGCCTTTTTTGACCGATGTGAAAAGCCTTTTTTGTACTAGTGTCTCTTATTAAGTCATATGAGGTATTGTGATATAATAATCACTCATGTTTAGTGATGGACCCCACAAAAATAAGCGATTATTGTTATAACATGATGCAGTTTGTTACTTGACTGCTAAGGTAGTCACATGAATTAATACCGATGAAGCCATTCTAAAAAATGTTGTGTCAAACATACAATTAAAAGATTTTAGAGTTTTTTAAATACCACAAAAGTCATAAGTCATAGATTTTGATGGTCCCAGATAGAGGTAAAAGTCTAGAGGGGGGGGGGGGGGGGAATAGACTTTTAAAGCTTTTTCAACTTTAAAACTTTTCCTTTCTAGATGAGTTGATCTATAATCTTTTGGGAGATTTCTAGATGCACAACACAAGTCTTTAACCTCTTAGATAAATGGTGTATAACAACTTTCTATGATGGATGAAGTTTGAGCTTTATTGGGTGAGCAGTTGGCTAGACAGTTGGCTAGAAAGCAGGGAACTGCTGAGGCAACTGCTAACGAAATACTCAGTGTATGATGAAGGTGCACTCATAATCTTTTCTCAGAGTGGGAAGATCTGTCTGATGATATGACAAGTTGGGTTGATAATCAATCTTAATGAGAGTAGTGGTCTCAGCAGTTGGGTGGTCACCTGGGTTAACCGTGGTCGGGGGAAAGTCGCCCAACGGTTGGGCGACTTATATGTCGCGAAACCATTTGACGACTTATAATTCGCCCAACCGTTGGGCGACTTTCTATTAAGTAAAAAAAGCGACCAGCCACAAAACAGAACACAGCGAACGAAACCCAATCCCCAAATCCTCCAAGCAATCGCCACGAAGGACGAAGGATGACCGAGCCATTTCCAACTCCGGAGAACTTCCATATTCGGCGACCCCACTCCGGCAAACCTCCATCTTCATCTTCAACACTCTTTCTTCTTTCTTGTAGGTAAATCAAACTCCATTTCATCTCATTTTTAACTTAGGGTTTTGAATGTTAAAATTTTGGAATTTTTAGATTATGAAATGTTGAAATTTGATTTGAAATTGATTGTAAATTTTAAAGTGTATTTTGACATTTGGGCATTTGGGTGGATTTGAATGTAGCTAAATTTGGGTATTGAAATGTAGACTTGAATGTAGATATCAAAATTTTGGTATTTTCATATTGAAATGTGAGTTGTTTGTGAATCTTGACTTTTGGATATATTTGAATTGTTATTAGAATATGGATTTCTCAAGCTTCCCAATCGTGTGTTATTGGGGAGGGAACTATTATGAGGATGCTGGTCAAATATGTCATGAAGGTGGTACAACCACATTTTTCATGGTTTGTCGTGGTGCTTGCATGCTCGAGATCCTTCAAAAAATACATACAGCCACAATGATTCATCTTAGCCGTTCTTTGCTTTTGAAAATGAATTTTCCCATGAACGGGGGAAAGTACATGCTTATGCCCTCACTGATGAGCTAGCTATAACAAATATGTGGGCCATAGTTCAGATGGAGGACATGTCAATGCTTGAGATATACATTGAGGAATCCATATGTGACGCTTATCGTACTCCATCAACATCAAATGCTGTTGTATCTAGGCATTATGTCAATGCAGGTGTGAATGCTGGGAACTCCTCAAATGCTCCTGTAATGGACATGGTTATACACGAAGATGGTAGGTATTTGCACAACGGTGCATCATTTGTGGATGGGTAGGAAAGTGATGATGATGCTGACGACAACATCAATGGTGAAGATATGACAAAATCTGATGAAGATGATGGTGATACGGTCACGGCAACTGCCCCGTCTACCCACTTTACTAGAATGTATGATCTCCCTGAAGGCTTTATTGATGCGTGGCTGAGTGGATCAGGTGAGAAAAGGTTTACCCTCGAAGGTGAGTTTGAGGTCGGTCAACAGTTTGACAACAAAGAACAAGTCATCAATATGGTGAGCTTGTATTCTATCAAACGGAACTAATTTTTTCGGGTGATAGAGTCTGATAAACACAAATGGGTGGCACAATGCAAAAGGAAGAAAAAATGTAATTGCCCCTGGAGAATACGCGCCACAAAGAACATTGTTCGCACTGATCATTCCCTTAAAGTGCATACTATCATTGAGATGTTGAAGGAAAAGTATGGGTATACGGTATCATATCGGAGAACATGGATGGGGAAGCAAAAGGCCATAGCAGAAATATTTGGCGGTTGGGAGAAGTCATATTCTGAATTGCCCCGTTTCATGACAACGCTCCAACATTCAAATCCTGGAACTATTGTGCAGTGGTACCCACCCCCTAATACCCCCACATGTTATATGCAGTTTCAAAGAGTTTTTTGGGCATTCAAGCCATCAATACATGGGTTTAAGCATTGTCGACCCGTACTTACTATCGATGGCACACACTTGTATGTAGGGATGGACTCGGGCCGGGCCAACCGGGCCGGAACCGGACCGGGCCGCCACTGTGCGGGCCCGGACCGGCCTGGTGAACCGGTTGGTTGGCCGGTTCGGGCCACCCGGCCCGGTAGATTCTCGGTTCGGGCTCGGTCCCTTCAAAAGGTGAACCGGTTCGGGCCTGGGCCAATTTTTTATTTATTTTTTTTGAATTTTTTTAAGTTTTTGGGTTGGGCTAGGTATTTTGGGCCATTTGAGGTGGTTAGGGTTGGTTTGGGGGTGAGGGGGAGGGTTGTGGGTTAAATAGGAAAAGCCCAAAAAAAAATATATATATAACCGAGGCTCGGCCCAGCCCGCACCCGGGGGTTACCCGGGCCAGTTCCTGGCCTCCCATACCTTGAACCGAGGCCCGGCCGGTTCAAGGCCTGAACCGGGCCCGGCCTGAACCGAGTCCATCCCTGCTTGTATGGAAAGTACAAGGGTACACTGCTCGTGGCCATGGGTTGTGATGCGAACAACCAAATATTTCCAGTGGCCTTTGCAGTTGTTGAATCTGAGAACGGGGATAGTTGGCCATGGTTTATGGCATGTATTAGGCAATTTGTCACTAATCGGGAGTTGTGTGTCATTTCTGATCGGCATGGAGGTATTGTCAGGGCAATGAATGAGGTGAGCAGTACTTGGGAGGAGCCTTATGCGCATCATAGGCTATGTATCCTCCATCTTGCATCGAATGTGCACACTCATTTCAAAGACATTCATCTAAAAAATCTTTTTGTCTGGACCGCACGACAACATCAGAAAAAGAAGTTTGATGGTGGGTTCAAGAAGATAAGTGAAATGAGTTTGGAGGCACGACAATTTCTGGGGAACATTCCCCCGGAAATGTGGTCATTGCACCACGATGGCGGGTACAGATACGGTACCATCACTTCTAATCTGGCAGAGGTTTTCAATAGCGTGATGAAAAATGCTAGATATTTGCCCATAACCGCTTTGGTCCATGTTTCCTTTTATCGGGTTAATGCTTATTTTGTTAATAGGCGTGAAACCAGTAAAATGAGAGTGACAGAAGGCCACGACTACTCCCCATACATCACAGATTTAATTGATAAGAATAGAGAGAAGGCCAAGCATCACATAGTTACTCCATTTGATTTAGGCCGAGGGTTATTTCAAGTGGAAACTGGTTGTGGTGGCCGAACGTTGGGGAAGGGTGGGAGAAAACAAACTGTCCATCTGAAACGGAAAACTCGCACTTGTAAAAAGATAGAGATATATAAGATTCCATGCTCTCATGTGTTAGCCGTGTGCAGACAACGTAGCTTGTCTTATGCTCCATTTGTGGATAAGTTTTTCTCATCTGACCAATACGCGACCACATATCATAGAGTCTTCAAACCCATTCCTGATCGTGATTATTGGCCTACTTACAATGGATCTGAAATCGTGCACGATCCATCCATGCTTCGGGCTAAGGGAAGACCTAAGTCGACACGTATTAAGAATGAGATGGATGAAGGTTCCCGAGGGACGGTTAGATGTGGAAAATGCCACCAAACCGGCCATAATAGGGCCATATGTGCGAAGAGATCATCAAGACACGATGGAGGGTCCAGTGAGTAAGGTGTTAATTATAGTAATTCACAGTTCATCTCAGTGTTGCATGAAAACATATTAATTAATAAAACGGATGATTAAAAAAAGAATTAGTATAATAGTAAAAATTAACTTATACGATTTTGTTTGTTTGTAGGCATGCAGGTGACAGCGGATCCTAGATCGAGTGATCAAGATGACCATGACAACTTCTACTTTGTCTTTTGTATTGCAGTTTTTCTTGTACAACATTTTAGATAATTTACAACATTTTAGATGTTGTAGGAACAATTTACAACATTTTACGTATTTTCTCTTGTATGTTATATTTATGTGTTCGAGTATGAATATTAGATGATTAATTGTTATGAATGTTTGATGATTGTACTGTGTTTTACTGGCGAGTTGTATGTGTTTATGTATGTGTTTGTGAACATGTGTGTTGTATGTTTTATAATGTGTTGTATCTCGCTCGTAACACTTAAACAGGAGAAAGGAGACCTTATTTATAGCAAAAAGATGAGTCTGGGTTGAAATGGGGCAAAAAAACTGATTAAATTCTGTTTTCGGAATTAGGCACGATTGTGTCTACCCGTGCAGACACGATTGTGCGTGGCTAGCAGTAGCTGTTGGTCTGCGTTCATATGGAAGGGGAAAGTCGTCCAACGGTTGGGCGACTTATAAGTCGCCAAACCGTTTGGCGACTTATAAGTCGCCCAACCGTTGGACGACTTTCCCTAACCATGGTTAATCCCAGCAGTAGATCGGTAAATATTTTTTTACCAGCATTATTTTCGTAATTAATTAATTAATTAACATTAATTCGAAAAAAACTCTTATTATCATGCAATAATTATATATTAATCTCATTATTATTTAAGTGTGGTCTGATATAATATATTGAGACACTAATTTGATTTGATTCAAACAAAATATCTTTTATACAAAAACAGTAGTTGACACACAGTTAAGTCTAAAAGTGTCCAATGGGACGATGGTTTTGTATAAATTTCCGAATTAAATGCATTACCGAAAAAGAAGTGTCGTTTTACGGAAGTCGTTGTTCATAAAACATTTTTAGGTCTCCAAATGGACCCGAAATTAAAATGAAAACGATAATTTGTTAAAATGGAAGTAGAAGTTTATGAGGGAAGGTAAAACTGGCAAGTGTCAGTATTTATTGAATGTCTCTCCGGTGGCAGATGCCAGTGCCATGTTGGCAAGAGGATTTGGCGATCGTCGGATCGCCATGCGATCGGACGGCTGTGATCTAGGTTCCAGCCAAAAGCGATGGTTCTCAGCGTTCCACGAAGGGTTTGGACAAATAGAGAAATCCCATAAGAGATGATGTGATGAGAAGGGGCGCTACAGAAGAGAGAGAGTCCCGAGCAACAACTATAGAAGCACGAGGGGGAGAGAGAGATTGGGGGTGCGAGAAAAATCTGTGACCCTTTGTGAAAAAGGGGATCTTTGAAAAGAATCGATTTGGGTGGTGACGGAGAAGGGAGCATTTCTTGGATTTCCGGTAACTCCGGCATCATATCCGGCGAAGACTTATGCGTCCGGAGAGAACACAAACTTCACAGAGAAGCACATACACCACCTTTAAGGATTGACTTTTCCATCTGGGTCTTGTACTTGATTCTCCTCCAATGGAGCGTAACAGAGAGGGTAGAAGAGCGAGTTTGGTAGCCGCTACCAATGGCTTATCCAGAAGGAGGCACAGACCCAACAGTCTCCGAGACTCCCCAGGTCTCCCCTTCCGATTCCACTCAGATCTATCTTCAGTGTCGATTTAGCTTTTCAATTGGATTTCTCTTCGGTGATTCTTTTGTTATTGATTGATTTTTCTTGTTTTTGTTTGTTGCAGACGAAGACGGTCCGGCGGAGTTTTCTGAATCGGCGAGGTTAAGAGAGAGAGTAAAGAAAGATCGAGATCGGGACCGGGAGAGAGATAGAGAGAGGGAGAGGTCCAGTAGGAGTAAAAGGAGGAGAGGCGGAGATAGATTGATTCACGGGAGTGATAGAGGCGACGATAGTTCGGCGGAGAGTAACTATGATGAGGAGTGCGAGGATGACGACGGCAACCACCAGCATCAGAGCAACGGCGGCAGCGGCGCTAGGTCGTTACCTCCAAATCCTCTGGCGGCGGCTGCTGCTGCTTCCTTTCCCAACCATCATCACCCTAGCAGTAACACCATCAATCACCACCAGCAGAACCATCTTCAGCACCGCAAGACTTTTCCGCCGAACAGTACAAATGTTCTGAGGACATCCCCTGTCTGGAAGTCCGGAGATGAAATGATCGGCGGTATTTCAGTCCCGAGAAAAGCTCGCTCAGGTTACCCTTGATCGGAACTAATTTTATTTTAGTTGATTTTTCTTGAAACATATTTTTTCGATTTTAACCTAATCTTAAATCTTGTCATATGCAGCACATACGAAGAGGTCTCATGATTGGGTTTCATGCAATAGCGGCGCCACCGCCGCCGCGAACGGTGGTGGAGTAGGAGGAGACCAAAATCACCAGCAAGCATCAACTTCGCCTGTGAGACAGAGTCTTGCGCTATCGCCTACTTCTTCTAATGCTTCCGGCCGGAAAAAGATCGTTAGTCCTTCACTTTTCTGCTTAAGATTATCTCTCCAAATTTTTGAGTGATGACACTGGTTTTTGCTGATGTAGAAGGCGAACAGTGGAGCTAAGCAGAGACCGCCCAAAACATCATCCTCTAAATCCACTTCGTCAAACCGGGAGGAGCTGGAGATAGAGATTGCGGAGGTTTTGTACGGTTTGATGACTCAATCACAAGCTCCTCCTCCCAAGAAAGAAGTTGCAGCAACTAATGATTCCAGGGAAGTCGCAAATAACAGATCCGGTGGCGGCTGTGGCGGAGATGCTGTGTCATCACCTGTTTCCAACACTCAGTCACCGGCAATTCTGCCTATGAGCTCAAACTCCCCTTCTGCACCTTTTTCTGCTACTGGTAAGATTTCTTCGCAAAGAATAAAAAAGCTACCTTTCCTTTTTTTCCCTTAGCAGCATTTCATAAGTCTACTCTTACTGACTCTTTTCTCATCCTGGACATGGAATTTCAGCTCCTAAGAGGAAGAGACCGCGGCAAGTTCTTGAGCCTCAGAGCAGTCCTAGCATTAGGAGCAGCCCATCTTCTGCTTTTACAAAATCTCAGATCGACCAGACCATGACGATGAAGGCAGAAGCTTCTTCACCTAATTCAGAGAAGACTGCATTTGAGAATAATGGCGGCTCTTTGTATTCGTATGCTTCGCAGGGTAAGACTTTATCATTAGATCCAGTGCCAGAATCCATGGCCGTGGTGGAATCTGAGACCAGGCCAGCGGCAGGTGAACTCTCATCTAGAGAAGACCAGGGAGGGGTTGGGAAAGTGGAGGAGGTTGCCATCTTGCTAAACAAGGAATCAGCTGCTGCTGTTACAGCAGAAGACAACAATCGTGATGATTCTACATCGACGGTTCCTGCTGCTACAACCAACAAACCGTAAGCATGCTCTTTCCAATAATAATCTCATAATCTTATTTAGTTGTGATTTTTATTATTTTAATCCAATCTTCTCTCTCTCTCATGAATTTCAGTTCAGATAGGTCTGAAGCTGAAAACCACACAGAGAAGATCCAGATAGATCTGATGGTGAGGATAAGAACTGATTATTTCCCCCCCAATAAAATAGTTTACTTTCGTGATTCGTTAAGAATGGGTTTAACTTTAAATTCTCATTATGGCTCGACCTCTGCAGCTAAGGCCTTCATCTGAAGGGGAAGGAGAAGGAGATGTCAATTTTTGTTCCACTACAGTAGATCACAAGAGAGGTGCATCTAATTCCATCAATGTGAGTAATATTATATTTTTTTGTCATATCTTGGATATTATTGAATTTATCTTGTCAATGGCCTCAAAGCCATCGAGATGGTTAACTGGGTTGACTAATGCTACAGCCGGAAATGAAGCTTGACGATGGAGAATTGCGAAAGATTGATGAACAGAGTGTGGAAGTTGAAGAGAAGAAAGGGAGAGCTGAAGTAGTAGTATCTGATAAGAAGATTGTTGATGCTAAGGGAAGGGATATTGATCTTCAGCTTGATTTAGAAAAACGGGAATGGGATAGCGGGACTGCCAATAACAGATCACAGCAGCCAACTCAAAAACAGCAACCGCCATCACTGCCGCCACCTTCAGCAAGAACCAACAAGGAACAATCCAATATGGTTGTGGAGAAATCTAGTAAGTTTACATGGTTTCACTTCTATGATGATTTTGATTTGGTGCGCCTGGTGGATAAAGAGTGAATAGCTTTTCTTTTCTCATTATTTTCTTGAAACAAGTTGTAGGTCAATCAGGCTCTTTGCCAATGTCTATGGCTAGCTGGTCTGGCGGGCTTCCTCCATTGGGGTATGATTATTTTTGCCGCCCATTACCAAAATCATCAATAACATTAGTTCCTTTGTTTTATTGAATTAACTGAGTTCTGATTGGCAGATATATGGCACCACTGCAAGGAGTTCTAGCCATGGATGGAAGCACCATTCCCTCTACACCATTGCAGGTCATTACATTATACCATTTTCTCCCGTTATTGCTATTTTTGATTGACAGGCAATTTTGACATTGAAATACTTGTACAGCCAGTGTTTACTCAACCTCGTCCAAAAAGATGTGCCACACATTGTTACATTGCAAGGAATATACACTTACTTCAGCAGTTTATGAAAATGAACCCCTTCTGGCCACCATCTGCGACCCCTTCATCTTTGTTTGGTTCCAACGCATGTAATCTTAATGTCGTCCCGGCAACTGAGTTTAATGGAAACATTGTTGGGAGGGGTGGGAGCACTGGTGGGCTGGATAAGGGGCCTGGACTTGCCATTTTTCCTGGTTTTGGTAGCAAAGATAAAGGCTCTCAAGCACCTAATATTCCGGATCCTGTTCACAGAAAGCAGCAGCAGCAAATTCTCTTGCAGCAACCATTACCGCCCCCTGCTGCACCTAATAGCTTACTGGTATTGTGCCTTCCTCAACATGGAATAATGCTACAGTTTTGGTTTCTTATTACTACCTGATAAAATTAAGGATTAAACTTGAGAATGTTTAGCTTTTGTTTGTTTGTAGCCAGGGCATACTTACATCATTCCATTGAACCAGCAACAAGCTGGCCCTCGGCCTGGGGCCTCAAAGTCCCCTGCTGCAGCGACTGGTGCCCAACATGCTTTATCAAATGTAACAAATTCTGGTGCTGGTGGTAGCAATGCCTCTGCTACAGCTGGTGGTGGAACTCATGCTGCCGTTAGTTTCAGTTATCCGAATGTGCCACCTAATGAAACGCCATACTTGGCAATTCTACAAAATAATGGATATTTTCAGATACCAGCAGTAGGTGCACCACTGAATTACAGAGGAGCACATCCACCCCAGCCTTTGCCATTGTTCAATGGCTCTTTTTATTCTCCGCAGATGATTCATCCACAACAGCTTCAACAGCAGCACCAGCAACAACAAACAAACTCACAATCCAAGCAAATGCAGCAAAACACTAGCATGTCAAGCGGTTCCTCTTCGTCCCATAAACACTTGCAAAACCAGCAGAAGCGTTCTCAAGGACATGCTGCTGTCAATGGCAACAATGGAAATGGAAATGGAAATGTTCATAACTTCCCTGTCTCGAAGAGCCATACATCTCAATCACAGCAGCATCTACAGAGTCAGAACATCATACCCCCGCCTCAAGCTCGTCACATTGAAAATGAGTTGGGCGGCGGAGATAGCCCATCAACTGCTGATAGTCGAGCACGTCCACCAGTCAATGCATACAATCAGAATTATATGATGCAGATCCATCATTCCAATTTTGGTATGATGGCAACTTCTCCAGCTACCATGGGTGTTGTATCTGCTGCCCCTACAAGCAGTAGTGGAAATCAGAATGACAAGAGGCAGCAGCAACAGCATTCCTTGAAAACTGGACTAGAATCAATGATGCCTCAGAATTTCACAATGCCATTTGCACCTCTAAGTACTGGGGGTTCTGCTCCTGGAATTGACATGTCATCTGTGGCGCATAACCATGCTATATTTCAGTCTTTGCCTGAGGCTGCCAGGCAAAACTTTCAGATGGTGGCAGCAGCTGCTGTTGCTGCCTCTCAGCAGAAGAAAAACTATAGAGAGGAGGGTAGAGGTGGCGTTGGGTCTGGTGATCCAATGACTGCTGCGGTTGCTGATGAAAGAAAGGTTTTGCAAGGAAAGGCATCACCAGCTCATCCTGCTGGTTTCAGACCATCTATGGGATTCTCAGGGTCTGATGGCACAGATGTTTCTGCTTCCAAAATGACTGCTAACACCAATGTAATGGATACCTCAAGGGCATCCATGAGTCCAGCTTGGACTGCACGTGCTGTCATGCCATGCTCTCCAGGGAGTGTCATTTCAAATGCTCAGTTACATGCTCAATATCAACAGCAGATGGTGCAGCAGCTTCAAAAGCAGCAGCAGCAGCAATTAGGCACATCCGTCAACCGTACTAAAGCACCTACAACTATTAATAATGGTACTGCTGAATATTTGACTTCATCTGTTGGCACTGGTGGTGTGAAGTTCTCGAACACAATTTCTGCTTTTCCTCAGAATCTTGTCCAGATAAGTGGCAATACCAGTAGTAGCCCCACTCACTCTTCTCCCCAGTGGAAAGCTTCTGCTGCGAGAGCTTCTACCTCCCAAGCAGCACAGACTTCTTCATTGGTGTCTGCTTCATCATCTCATAAAAACCATACTCAGCAGCAGCAGCAAATGAGAATGCAACAGAATCACACCCAAATATCTTTTGGGACAAATCATAAATCAACTGTGCAAGGGCAGCATCACCCCCCACCAAGCAGCAGTAATCAATCGCAGTCTTCAACAATGATGGCTGGATCCCCAACTACATCCTCTATCTCAAAAGGGGCCAGTGGCAGTAGTCCGAGAAGAGCTAACTCTGCGTCCATGAGTAACAAAAATGACCAGGCTCCAACAATGGCACCACAACAGGGCGGGAAAGCATCTGTTCAACAAATCGCCAACCAGAAGTCGTCATCTCCAGCAGGTGGGAGGAGCACTCCTTCAATTCTTGGAAACCAACAGCACATTCCTACAACCTCGGGCAGTGGAAGCAAAAGTCAAATACAGCAGCAGCATTTGCAGAAAAGTGTAGCGCAACAATCTCAGCTCTTCTTCTCGGGTTCTTATGGGCAATCACAATCTACAAGCACTGGTTCTGCTTCTGCCACTAGTGGTTATTTTGCTCAAAGGAGGCGGCCGGAACAGCAACAGCAGCACCCTCTGAGTTCAACAGTGCCACCAACCTCTCCAACTGGTATGTTAAATATGTGTCCTGTTTCTTTGGGTGGAGGGACCATTTCCAATCCTGGAAAATCAAATGCAGCCACTGCAGCGGCTTCTGCAAATTTGAGAGGTATCAGCGTGCCACCACAACAAGCTCTTCATGCTGCCCAGTTTTCATCACAGTCATCTGGGAATCAGCATCACATTTTGCCTGCTGGTTTCTCATATGTTCAACAGCATCCATCTGCTGCTTCTGTGAAACCTACAGAGCAAAAACAGCCTGCTGGTAAGTAACTGTAATTCCATCTTCCGGCTTTATGGAGTTAATGTTTTGGAACTCCGCTTTAGAGAGTATGGGGCGTTTAAGATTGAATGAGGACTAGTTTTTGAAGCATAGCAATAATTTCTTGACCAGGAAATGATAGTTTGCATGCATGCTGGCAGCTTGACAAGGGATGAATGTGTGATCATTAGCCAATGAGGCAGGAGTTCCTCCTGTGAATCCCAAAAAATCAAGGGCCCACAAAACTTGAAGTTCAGCACCATGGAGTGGGCTAAACGTGATGTGGCTTTATGCATGAACGTGGGTTGTTTTGAAGCATTGATGGATGGATGTGTGTATAGTCTGATGGCATGGGGATGAAAAAAATTGACTTTTAAGGAAAAAGGATGATCGTGTTGAATGACTAGAAGGAAGAAGTTTAGCTAAGAAGCAGAAGAATGTCCTGGGTTAGCGTTTAGCTTATGGGATCGATCATTCTGCCCGTTTTTCGATCTTCTGTTTTTGGGGTTAGGCGTAGCAAAGGGTTCGTTGTTATTCGTTATTCTTTTTCTTTCCTTGGGAGTTTTTAACTGCAGAAATGAAAAAGCAGTTTCTGGACAGAGTCCTGTTTTGAACATAAACATATATGTATGTATGTATGTATTGGAAGGTGCATAATGACTAGCTCATGATAGTTTCTTGATTCTTACTGCTGTTATAGTTTTATCTCTTTATTATCCTTTTGTACTTTTCCAGATATTTTGTGTCCCCTTTGATGATTTGGCCATGTTTCTTGAAGTGCCTGTCCTTTTGAGAACTTATTGGCTGTTGAATGTGCCATAGCAATAATTGTGGCTCTGATGTGTGGGGCACTACATAATTGATGCTATGCTGTGGTGGTGCTATCTAGTGAGTGAGTGCATGGACTCTTTCCCAAAGTAAAAAAAAAAAAAATAGGCCATTATGGGTGAAGTGGACTGCCACTTCCTTATCATGTAGGGCATCATCGTACGTCACCCCCCTAATTTAAAGGTCATGCCAAAACCCTCTGGCCCTACCTGCCCTTGACAAGGGGGTAGTCTTTGTCTTCTGCCGTATTTAATTCTCACCGTCATTCAAGCCCAGGTGGGGTTTTCTTTCTGGATCTCTTTTCTACCATTGATATTTTTAGCATCAATAGTGCCGCGTGGTTTTAAGGATTTTATTTATGGCCCTGGACAATTAAATGACAACAAACTAGCTTGATTTGTTTGCTTGACTTCGTTGCGTTATTTAAAATTTTGACAGCTCGAATTTTTTAATGTGCACTTTCTAACACTTCATGTGGGCTCAATTAACTTCTATGGTCAATGTTATCAAAACCTAATCCTCACTAATAGTTCTACTATGTTTGGAATGTTAATTTTTGAATTAAATACGAAGTATTACGTTGAGTAGTATTGGTTGGAAAATGTAAAGTTGTCATAAAAGCATGCGTTTAATAAAAATTAAAAATAAATAAAAAATCAAATGATGACAAGTCAAAAGTGACATAAGTTTAGAGTAAATTTAAATTCCATTAAAATAGAGAAATAAATTGGCATGATTTGCATTAAATTTGAAGTATTAGGAAAATTGAGTTTATGTGATTGTTTTGAACGGATAAAGTAAGAAAATTTTAGGAACACATTTTTGACCAAAATTGCTACCCTGCATGAAATAATTTTAATGCATCCAATTATGAAGATCCGTGCCAAAATAGAGCCGTTTTGTATCCAATTATGAAGATCCGTGCCAAAATACGAGCCAAATTACACCATAAATCCTTGCACATTCCTAAGCAAAAAACACATCTTCTTTTATGTATACATCTACACATGAGCTATTCTTAGTGCTGAGCTTTTATCGTAAAAGTTGTTACATACAGTACCTCCCAAAACCACAAAGTTAGCGATTACAATTCATATTTAAATCTTACTTTTTATATAAATCTTAACCTTTATAATCTTAAGTAATTGTCTGGACATAAACTTCGATTCAAATTTACTCAACTGGCTGTACATTTGATTTTATTCGAAATCAGCATTACATATTTTTTGGGTCAGTCGGAAAAGTTTACATTATATTCCGACTGTCTCATGCATCTTTTCCTCTTGAACAGGATAAATTGCTCAATCAATTTTGCATGCTTGGATGTGCATCATCTTTATTTCATTCATTCTAAAAGTAAACAAGAAACAAGATAAAGCAATAAAAAGAAGCATAAAGCTATAAAGAAATATTCTCTTTTCCCAAGTTTTTGCTTACTGTGATTGTATATGAGATTTAAGAAATTAAAGTTGTCTGCTCAGAGTTTAATTAAAACGGTGGGAAATATTACGATTTACATATGATATCTATGAGACAACAAGATTGTGTTGAACTGTTGACTCAAAAAAGTGAGAACACTTTGAGTAAAAAATGATCCATTGTTTATTGCCAATATTGAAATGAACTACCCTGCCCTTCAATTTTGTAAAGCCACCGTAGCAGTCTTTTAGATGACATAAATATCCATATCCAGAACAATATTTACGCTTCTTAGACAATTAACAAATGGTTTTTACAAAATTAGACATATGACTAGATGAGTACATATCAATTTGAGCATTAAAGAGTATTTGCCATTGCATTTAGTTTATAATTAAAAGTTGATAGTAAAAGTTGAATAATTGAAAATATTTCAGTTTATTAGTACGAGTTGAAAATATTTAATAGTAAAAGTTGATAATTTTTTTAGAGAATAACGTTTATTAAAAACATAAAAGTCGGCTGTGATGGATAAAAAAAGTTTTTTTTTTGTATAAAACATAAAATAGCAATTAAAAACAACTATTCACCTACTTTCTACTTTTAGTTTTGAAGTTCCTAATTTAGCTAAAATCAATCATTTTTTTGGCAAAACTTTCTAACCTATTACTCCCTCCGTCCCGTTGGAATGTTCCCGATTTGATCTACACACATATTAAGGAAATAAACTTACCAGGGGGTAAATTTTACTGTTTTGACACTGTTTCGACACTGTTTGACACTGTTTTGCACTGTTTGACCCTGTTTTGATGTAGGATAACTTTCCATTTAGGGAAATGAGAACTTTCCAACGGGACATCCAAAAAAGGAAAGCGGGAACATTCCAACGGGACGGAGAGAGTATAACATATGTTCTATATTAAGGCAGACATCCACTACTAAAAAATAGGCTTACAGTGACACTCTTATAGTGACACTTTCTGATATAATGACATTAATGATATAAGAGTGTCGCTATTTTCTAACAAAAATATATTAGCATCAAATAGTGACGCTCTTTACGATTCTAATTTTTACGGAGTAGTTGAACTATTGGGCCCTGCGGTTTCTAACATTTCTAAACTTAGTTTTTTCCCTCCCATCAATTAAGTCTCTCTAGGGATGAACCCTAGCTCTTCTTCACGAGCTCAATCCATGGCCGTCCGGCCGCTTGACACACTGACACTGTCTCCTCCTAGCCCTTCTTATTCATCCAATTGAGCGATTGTAGCCCATTGAACCTAACCTTAGTCCCCTTTTACATTTTCGAGCAAGGATCTTCTCCATGTTCGAGCGATTCTCATCGTGAACTGTTCGGGCTACAGATGAAGCAGAGGAATGGTAGTAGGAATTGAAACTCCCTTAATGAAGCGGTTCTAAGGGAAACAACATTTTCAACGAGATTCTGCTTCGGTCATGTCTCTTATCTTCTACGTAAAACTTCTTCACACCAAATATGCTAGTGCAACGAATCTGGTAAAGGTATGAAGATGACGAGAGTGCGAAGCTGCTCCTGTGAGGTCAAATCTTGCGACGGGATAGGTGTTGAGCTGGGTTCCTCTCGACCTCACTCCAGCCCTAGCTAACTGACGGACTGATCGAGTCGGTAACTCCTCGCCTTCTCCTTAGGGTTAGGGTTCCTATCAATGAATGAAGGATCTAGCCGGTATTTTTTTGTTCTTTGTCCGACACCTCTATCTACTGGAGTAACTCCAGTAATTTATTTTTAATTCTTAATTTTTTTTATCTAAAAGCTTTGATATGCTTTGTTATACTTTTTATGCCATAAAAATGTCAGGAGTATTAACAAGTATTGTGAGGCAGCAATATTAGATTTTGATATGCTTTAGCTACTTGAAAGACGTGATGTAGTGATTGTCTATAAGTGTATATCACTTTCATCAATTTGATTGCCTTTCAATTCAATGTTTAGATTAAAAGAGTTCATTCTTTGCAGCTGCATTCAATTGTGGAACTAGTTAATTACTATAACCATGTACTTGTATCTGCAACTTTATGCCCCTCACTAATAACCATTGCAGGGGTGCATGAGGCATTACTTTCTTTAAGAAAATACAGACTAACTTAAATTGCAAGTGCCTGTCTTTATGGCTTTTCAGGCTAGCGATGCTGGAAAAATCGAGAGAAATCAAATCTCTGACCCCGATGATGCCGCACAGGAGAATTTTCACATTGCTAATGCTTCATGCGCAAGGCCAGAAACTTTTAAGGATGTGAACCTCTTCTTTGGAGAATATGGCGTCACTCTTTCAGGTATTCGGCGATTAGGGCAGAAGGTAGGTGACCAGGGTCCTCGTTGCTGCGCTCCTATAGAAACCAGACTAGAATCTATACCGGTAAAAAGAGCTACTGAGTTTGATTCCAAACATTATATTCATTTTTCTAAAAATGAAGTGTGTACTCTCAAAATGAGTGCGCATAAAAATAGCATCTTACTTTTTCATTCCAACCTTTCCTATTCGTCCCTCAAGTTTTTTCAGTCATGCATTTTAATTGTTTGGTAACCTATATTGAGATGGCATGCTGTTAGTGTTTCCAACAGCAGATAGGCTTCAAAATATGATAGAGCATCGAGTATTAGTTCATCATTTACAGTAATGATGATGTTATTGTAATTTAAACTTATATGTTTTGTCAATTAAGTGTGTAATTCAAACTTTTGGTTTCAGGTTTTATGTTACAAAATGAAAACTTGTTCCAATTCTTGTCCTCGATAGAGGATAATGAATGAATGTTACAAAGTAATTTGGCCCAAGTGTCGCATGACTCTGATGAGGGACCTCAAAGAAATACTAAATTCTTTTTCTTGTGATAACATCTCTGGTTGACGTTTTATTTAAGCACACATGTTTATCATACTTCATTTGTGTAGGATGCCAGCGACATAATGGATATTGAAGAAGTTGAATCAAATCTACATGCCTTGAAGCAGTTATATGGACTGTTAGAACAGCCAGCCTTCTAAGCGCTCTTGATGCAGAATATGAAAAAAATCCATTTGAGGTTTGACTTTTGTTATTCGATCTCCATTCTCCCTGTTTTGTATTTTCTTTTTGTATGTAACTTATTTTTTTGCAGGGTGCATCTTCTGTACCTAAAAGGGCAATCAAAGCATCGGATTCCGTATCAATTCTTCATAAGCTTAGGAAGATAGTCTGTCACTCGAAGATATTAGTGAAAAGATTACCTTTGCTTTTCTCAAGGGCTTAGAAAGTTCTGATGGGAAGGTAGTCTATATCTCAAGCTTATGTAGAATTGATCTGGAAACATTAGTTTAATTAATACCTTTTTCTTATCATACGAGTTTCTCTTCGTCTAGTTCTAGAAGTGATAACATCTCAGACCCTTAGGTATCCATGACAACATGACCCTTATTTACTTAAGAAGGTTTAACTTGTAATT